GTTTTCTGTCTCTCTTGCTTAGTGCTATTACTCTAGAGCTCTGTACAGGAACCGCTGGTCTCCACAACTCCTCTGCCCATACCTCTTTGCGGCGTCAACAGAGTTAATTTGCAGTGCCTTCTATCTAAGCCCCACGGTGGGGAGGTTACTGTTACAGCAGTAAAGCAAATGCAAGAAAGCTGTCCGTAGATTAAGATTTACAGACGACAGAATTACAAGGTTTAATTTAGACCATTAAGGACCACTGGTCTGGGTTCTGAAGCCAGCATCTTACTGTGGCCAGATAACAACCACTGAGGACTAAGGACGTCACGACTCTGGGGGGAAAAAACCATCATCGGGAGCAGCTGGAATAGAAGATGAGGCAATGGATGGTCTCTCGGGATCAACATCCCGGTAGGTAGGATGCATACGTATAAAACACTGCCGGTTTCCTTCGCAATCTGGGGCACTGTGTGAGTGCTGCCCACGTCCCGCCGCTCTGCATGGTGTGACGGCACGAGTGACCATGTCGAACGGATGACGTCTCCTCCCTAGGAGAAACATCTGCAGAAACAGGGCAACCTTTCCAGAGAGAGCTCAGTAGCTGAACCAAGAGACCGTTTAGACGCCTCAATTCTGGGGACTTCACGTGCACGTTCTTTTACAGCCACACCTTCTTTCCAGAGTTGAAAGCACCTATACTTGACACCCCGCATTGAATTCGCTGCCACCTCAACCGACAACCACGTTATTTTAACGACATTTTTAGTAGCTGAACTTTTGCTGTCGATGGTGCTTCCCAGGAGCAGGGGGACAGGGACACAAAGCTGTTCTGGCCCAGCCACCATCACCTCCGATGACAATTTACTCTTTTCCCCTGCGCTCTGGTGCCTTGATGGTTACGAGCTTTCTCCAGTGAAACAAATGGAAGTTGAAGGAGCTGGAAATACATCATTAATAGAAGGGGAAACCTATGAGAAGTGCTTTTAACACCTAAAGCAAAGCTTGTTCTGTCAAGAGACTGATGGCTTTTACCTCTGCTCCTTTTACATATTCGGTGAAATTTTAATGCCCATCGAACTCAGAAGCATTTCAATAAATATTAAATCTTGCACCATACCAAAAAGGTGCGAGTTGATGGCATAATGGCATGTCTGCACCACGCATCAAGAACGTGTGACAGAATGCACACTGATGACAAAATACTCATTGACACAGGCAGAAAAGGAAGAGGAGGAAAAATAAAAGCGGCTCAGAATATGTTCATGAAAATGAAATCTCTGCCTTAAGCGGCTTAGCTAATGGGAACTTTTCTTCTCTAAAGCATTAAATGTGGCCTCCCAAGTGTGATCATTCCATGAACCCAAATGTCAGCTTCCAGTCACTAGCTGGCATTCGAAAAAAGTTTTCCCACTTATTGTAAAGAGTGGTTATCTGCTGGCTAACTCCCCTCAAAATCCCGAGATAACGCGCAGACTCCAGACACAGTCCCACTTCTCTCACGCTCCTCATCCTGAAAGTACAGATAGTTCACCAAAGGGAAGAAAGGCAGCCTGAGAACTTTAAAAACATAAAAATAAAGAAAGAACGAGGCCAATTTTCACCTATCACTATGATCTCTAAATTGCCTTTAATAAGATTCCGCAATAAAACAGGGAGCCTGGATTGTGGGCTGCTCGTCTGCGAAGGAGACAGCTCTATCTCCACGCTGTGGCTTCTGCCTCCGTCCCGGGCATATTAACTTCATTTATCTCCTCCCACAGACTGAAGGAGAAATAACCACCTCTGGATTTCAGCACCTGCCCTTTATCATTCTGTTTATGCAGAAGTCTTCTAAAAGGCTAATTACTCAGCTTGGACTTTCCCTGCCTTCGCAGTACACGGCTAAGAGCATATACTTAAAATAATGTTAATTATATTGTTTGTCTCCAGTTGCGTCGCTCCAGGACTGGAAGGAAAATGTGAGTTACATCTCCCATTTCCCAACAATTACTTGCTAAGAAAACGCAGGATATCTTTCCTCACACATATACATACATGCGTATGTATAGAGACATGACCTACTGCTAACACACATGCTCACTTTGCATCCCATGTTGCTTCCCACAGTGAAAGGGCGCAGGAGTACCAGGGCGTGCTACAAAACTGATAAGCCCCATTATGCAGATCAGGATCGTGGCTCTAAGTGCTGTTATTTTTAGTTAACGTTTATTCATGTTTGAACTATGGTCTAAGCAACAAACTCGAGATCTGAATACATGTAACGCCTGTTGAATGCTCACTTCCTCGACAAAGGCCAAGATAAGCAACTTGAAAACATTCACTATATTTATCCGTGCATACATTAGGTACTTATACATAAGAAAAAAAGCCCACCATTGTCTGAGCTGCAGGGAAGCGAGTGAGTAAAAGCTGCAGTCCTCATTTTTCCAAATCAAAACCTTTGTGTTTCGCCCGCCCCCCTCAGGGTGCTTCAGCTGAGGATGGCAATTTCTAGGAGGTAAGAGCAGTATCTCTGCAGGGTCTCCTGTACTTTAGGGCCCTTCAGTATGTCATGGCAAAAGGCAAGGACGGCTTGAAAATTAATTAGCAATTAACGCAAAGCCGACCTATAAATTCTCGGGATTAAACTCCGCAGCTTTGTACGTTGTAATTAAATGTAGGTCACGTCAACCCAGATGCAACAGACCCATAGTTCCTCCACACGTTGCCCAAGCTGGCCAGGAACAGGCCATCTCCTATCCAGAAGCCACTTCTCAGCACCGGCTGTGCCCAAGCCAGCACGCCTTAGAAAAATGTCCTTTCAGCAGGTAATATGGGTTGGTCTACGTGGCTAGAGAGCTTCCAGCTCGCAGCTGCGAGCTTAGCGATGCGAACAGCCACGGAGCCTATTGTGCAGGCAAAGCGACTGTGGGTAGGGCTGCTCCCACCCATCCAGACATGCCCAGAGAGTGTCATTATTAAACACGTGCGGATTAAAGCTTTCTCCTTTATTTAGCTGCTGCAAGTCCTCAGAGTTGCCAGAGCTATTGTGTAACTATATCTGCAGTCCGATCTTAGTATGATTTTGTCGAGCTTTAGAATAGCTTCCCCCGAAGAACCTCAGAGAACGAAGTGGGAAGACCTGAGGAACTGTGAGACTCCCAGGGGAGAGGTACAAGGACAGAGAGCGTGAAGGCTCACAAGGTCACTTCCATAGGAGGGAATCGTGTGCTACTCACTGTCTTTGCAAAGAAAGGATGCTATGTGCATTTGCAAACGAGTGCATGACATCACAGATACCAAGGTCAGTGTCACCAACTTTTCTCCACGCAGGAGTAACCTGCTCTGGCCAAATTGTTGCTCAGCAAAAGGATTTTGAAACAAAATGATAAAATACAGTAGGTGAAAGTGGACAGTGTAGAAGAATTATGTGCCAGGTTGACTGTGTTCACTTGGTAAGCCCACCCCCAAACTCAAGTCCTTCGGAGGAAAGGGAAGCGCTTCAAGCCACACCGTAAACCTTCTCAAAATTGGAAGTACTCAACTGCTCGGTGAGGACTTACAGAGCTTGGCACTTGTCAAAAAATTTTGATCTGCTGATTTAAATAGCAATATAAACGTGTAATTTTGAACGCTGCATATCATTAATACACAAAATGTAAACTTGCTGGCATTTCACTCCAGAGACGTTTCTTTAAATTGTGGCCCCACGCATAGGTCACCTGGCACACTAAGCAGCTGATAAAACCTTTGTTTTTTTGGTAAGGAGCGAATTTATTTAGTGTCAAGAAGGAATCGCTGTAGTCTTTTAACAGCTCTTTTTAAGAGCTTTTGATTATCTGCACGTAAGAAGAAGTTGTCATAGAAAAAGCAAAAGGTCCAGTGTTTTTCTGCATTCACAGCATCACACTGTAGCAAAAGCACAACCTGAAGGGCTGGACTTGGATCCAACAACCCCTCCGGTGCTACTTAGGCTATTCCTGGACTGCGGCTCAGGACTCGGACTCTAGACCAATCTCTCCCGAAGTAATTCGGTCTGAGTGACTAAATACGTGCCGTCTCAGGGACACAGGGAACCGTAGGAAAGACATTAGTATATGCAGCCAGCTAGACAATTCCCACCGGGTGTTTTAAAATTACCAGGGTATAAATAAACTACCAGCCGTCGCCAATGGCGGTGTGCACTCAGTGTGCCTGATCAGATGATATTTTTCCTAAAGTTATCACAAAAGAAATGGGTCTTGAGAAGACCGTCCCGCTCTCTTATCATGGAGTAGGAACAAAAATGGTTCTGCAGAAAGCAGACGGCATTTCAAATACACTTGGTATAATGGAGAAGAAAAATCGTCACGTATTTAAAAAACACACATAACTCCCATTTAGTGACTTACCTACTTACACAGATTTCATTATTGCAGTATTTAAACATCTCACAGCCATTAATGGATTTTAGCCTCACAAAACCTGTCAAGTTGGTAAATCCCTCACGAGATTTGAGAGATTCTCAGAAGGGAACGGAGGGCTCTGCTCAGGATTACACAGAACGCTTGCCATCGTGTTAACCAGACTTACAGGTCCTGAACCTATTTTCACTAGGCTGGTTAATTCTTAACTAAAGCCACAGAAATTTTTCTTTGTAGCCTTTTATATAGACCCAGATGGAGATGCAGAACGCTAGAGAAAGAAGAATAAGTTAAGGAAAAAAAAGAATTATCACAGTTTGTTTACAGCTTAACTAAACAACGGATGGCGAAGTGAGACTGCATCTTGGAGATATGATGAAGAAAACTTTTGCCTCAGCAAATTTTAATTCCTCCACACGCTTCAATCCACTAACTAATCAAGGAAACTAACCCAAAGATTTAGCGCAAATTAGGAACTTAAATTAAAACCTACACATACGGCAATCCACAATGTAACCCCTTGTCTGCTGCTATCGATAGGAGAAATGACGTTTTGACGTTATGGATATAAGGGGTATGTACGTAGCTGATTGCAACAGTACACGTTTAATTGACGAGGTCTTGAGCACTTACTCTTAGCCTGTCTTTGGGCAAAGCAACAGCTCCTTGCTTGATGATTTCCAGAACCCGCTCCACTGACAGCTCAGCTCCAGCTTGCTCTAATCGGGAGCTGAAAAAGCTGATCACCTGGAATGAAAAATCAGAGCACATAAATAAATTGAAAAGAAGAGATCTTTGTATCAATTTACACACGAAGCTGTCATCTTCTTTCCCTGGACTTCCTAAAGAATAATCACGTTATTGCTTGTGTCGCAGCCAGGGAGACTTTGTTAATGTCAAATTAGCACAATTATCAGTATTTTCCTGCAGTCATTTTTAACAGATAGATGATTTTACAATTTAACAGACACAGCTGAATTAATAAATTTACATTTTCAAGTCCCATGCACCGACACATGCTTATATTTCTATCTGTCAGTACTTCAGCATGTGAGGAGTTTCGAGGCCTTCCAGTCTACTTTCTATAGTTTGGGATAGAAATCTACTTTCGTTTTCAAGCATTCAAGTAAAATCTTTGCAGTTTCAGTGGCTCCTGGACAGAAGACTTTCAGACAACTATTAAATATCTCAATACAACCACAAGAGTCTACATGACTTCCTGGGGGTTTTGTAGCAGTCAAAGGCATCACAATTGGAGGGGGAAAAGACTAAGCCCACAAAGCTCCTCTTCTCCCCAGATTAACCACCCGAAGCGGCCCGCGTACCTTCCCCATCACAGATTCCAGGCCCAAGGACGTGTACGTTCCCTCTCAATGCTCTCATCCTTCACGCATCTCCCGGGTGAGGCCAAGCTGATTTTCACCATATTTCCCTCCCCACCCCCTTTCTGTGACCCAGCTGGTCCTTATTAGCTAGAACACAGTTAGGTCAGGCTTTAACTTTTATCCCTCTCCAAGCTCAGTAGGTCACACCAGAAGCAGACATCCCACCGGCAGTTCTCCATGTGGGACATCAGAAAACCTCCATTTCCATAGCTTCTTTCATCCAAAAAGAACACACTTTGCAAACCCCATCTCCTATCCCAGAGGAACTCATCAGTCACGCAGGGGATCTGAAACGCAAAACAACGCAAAAAGGGTACGGGGCAAAGTTCCAACGCCTACTTACAGCCCTTTGAGAGTACCACAGGATGGTCAGTGCCACTTGGTAGAACCCATGCATACGTGAGCACCCGGCTACCCCGTGGCTGGAGCCACCCGCAGTTTTCACTCACTGCACGTGCTGCTAGTAGGTTCCCCGACATCTCATAGGCTTCGGACACCGCTCCTCTGAAAAGTACTAATGTCCACTTGTATCTGAACCCCAGCCTCCAGCACATGGAGTAAGCTTTGTTACTTCCCAAGTAGAAGGGGGGAAAAGTGTATTATACTACAAAATCTCTGCTGAGCTCTCTTTGTTCTGTAGTGAGACACAGCTGGAGCCAGAAACCATTACTCTAATTATGCCTCCCAGCTCAGCTGCTGTTAATAAAACAAAGACAGCTGATGGCTTGATTACTTTGGGATTCAAATTTGTTGTTCCTCTCTTGTGATCCCCAAAATCCTAGCCCTTATTTTGAGCAGGTAGATTTGCTGGATCATGGAGCAATTTTATGTAGAAGCTGAAGCACCGAGTGAGTGAGATACAGACAGATGACAGTTACTGGAAGCTGCTTTTTGGGGCTGTGGGGCTTTGCTATGTCTTTTTTTTTTGTTTTGTTTGTTGGATTTTTTTTTGGTGGGTTTTTGTTGTTGTTGTTCTGTTTTGTTTTAAACAACAGAAGTGTGGAAATCAGTCAAGAAAGAATTCAGGTTTAACCTTCTGTACTGTCCTTACGATCATTTCCATACTTGAATAGAGGGGAGAATTTCACTGCCTCTGGCAGATGTTGCAGGTAGGTTTTACATTCTTACAGATAAGGACTCACTGTAGCTTCTGTGATCTCTGATCCTCAGCACAAAACCCAAAAAACACTAAACCAAACCACCAAAAAACAGGAGTAGGAAGATGTGCTGAGTTCATAAGCAAAGGAGCTGGAGGGAGGAACCAGAAATTACAGAGGAAAATGGCAAGAAACAGCTTGCGCAAAGAGCATGAGGACCTTGGAGTGAGGCTGACATGGTTTTGGCATAGAGTCTGGGACAAATTGCTGGTAGAGGATACACAGCTCATAGAGGAATGAGAAAGTTGCCCACAAACTTCGAAAGAAAAAAACATTTTCCTGCGTTTCAACACTCTTCTGTTGTCAGTAACCACTGGTGAAACCTATCCTCGCCCAGGGCAGGCTCATGCAGAGAATCCATCCCACTAGTGCTGCCTTGTTAGCTCAAGTTCTGCTAAACCACAACAAAAGCAAAATTTAATATTTGGCTTTTAATCAAAAGGTTAAAATACTATCATAATGCATATGCATAAAAAACCTGAATGAAGCTTGCAGATACTACCTGAATTCTGGCATTTCCTATTTTGGAAAGTCAAAGCCTCCAATCTTAACATGTTTTTAAAAGACTTTTAATGTTTTTGTGGTAAAGGTACTAATCTCGGTTGAGTTATATTTCACAAAGAACAAAAGTAAGATAGGCTTCCAATATTTTCAGGCTATGTCAGCATTTCATAGAACTCGGAATGGCTATTTTTGGTATGCAGTGGAAGACTGAAATGAAAAATATCTACTTTAATAATAACACTTACCTCGAAACATTATGTGCCTTACTACTTCAGGCAATATAGAATTGGAGTAATTCTTGATAGTAACCCTGATAGTACAGTACCCCAACAAGATACTCCAGTACCCAATGAGTACCCCAGTGAAATAAGGGGGGGGAACAGGGGGGAGGAGGAATAAAAGAAAAAGAGATGAGTTATACAGAGGAGATCCTAAAAGAGGCATTTGCTCATGATCATTAAATCAGTAATCAAAACAAAAACCGTCCAGCATTACATCCCTACCGCTCAAGCCCGCATCTCTTCTGTAGCAGAAGGTCTAACACTTTACCTAGTCATCTGCCCAAATATAAAAATAAAAAAGCTTAACATAATATTAAGGAAGAGTAGCCTTTTGCTTTGAAAGAGCTTTAATTATCTTCCACAAGTAAGTAACAGAGCTGTGTTGAAAATACTCATGAAAATTAACAGATTTCAACTCCTTGTCCACTTCAAAAGAAAACGAACCAGAAAAAGAAAACTGGCTGGATAATATTAAATGAGTTTCAAGTTTTAGCACATGCTTTAAAACCCAGTGCTGAGCATATTAATGTAATGTATAGAAAAAAGCAGAACTCCAGGCAAAAGAACTAGACTGAGATGGGCTTTTTTTTTCCCCCCCTTATGATTTTTTGATATTCTGAAAATTGTTTTTCTCATTAATTATTTGGGCAAGTAGTCTAAGAAAACAGAAAATAACTGCAAAGGCTGCTTAAGAAGACGACTAACAAGAAACTTAACCAGTTGCTGCGAACTACTCGTATCCAAGTCACGTTGTGCGCCCTCTCCACGCAAGGAACGTAAGCCGTTTTAAAAAGCTCTTTCTCCAATCTGGGTTCCATATTAACAGAGATTAAAAGGCACATCTAATCCTGGATTAGACAACCCCCCATCAGGAATATCTTATCAGTGTCCAGCTAAAACGGTGTACCTACAGCGCCGTGCCCTGTGCACAGAGCCTAATTCTGCTTGCGCAAGCTACCCAACCGTGCGGTGCGATGGGCACGCAGCGATGTGGCTTGGTCACCATCAGCTCAGGGGTGCCCAGGCTTTGTATTCATATACCATTAATACACTCAAGATCTCTAAAAAGCACCCTGTTTTCTATAGTGATTTCCAAAATTGGTTTTCGTGCAGCTTTTCCACTGAAGAGCTCAGTTTTCCCCGAGAGACTCATCTTTACTCCTTTCCTTTTCTAAACAATAAATTTACAAAATATTTCCAGAGATTAGAAGTGCTACAAGAAAGCTAGAACGATTTAAAAGAGACATTTTAGGTTTTGGAGGTTGTTTTTTTTTTAAAGTTATGAGAGGATAAGCACAGTGTCTATTATTTCACCCATCTGTTATTCTCAATAGGGCTGAAAGGCTGAAGTAAAAAAATATTTCTATTTACTATAGCGTGCACCAAGCAGCAGAGCTATCAAGGACAAAATGTTTTCTCCACTTGGATTCTTTCAGCAGATGCTGAAGTGCTGTGATGCCCCAGCCCATTCCCAGGCAGTGCCGCTGCCGAACTAACACTACAGCTCCTCGCTTTCTCCTCCAGCTAAAAATAACAGCACGATTCGCTGCTGCCTCCTCTGCTCACAACTGTCAAGGTTAACTCTGCAAAAAGAGGAAAAAAAATAGCTTGGCACCAAATGAAAAAGTTCTGATTCCTTTTTTCCCCCCCCTTCCCTTCGGAAAGTGATGAAAAGAGAAAGACGCACATTTTGACATTGGCTAGTCTACATTTCCAGCCGCGTTCACCGCTGGTAGAGTAACACACTGTATTGACGGCACACAGAAAGGAGAGAAAAGGAGAAAACAAACCTCTTGTCATGAAGTACTGCAGGATTAGCACTTCAGCTAAGTAGGTTCCTTGGGAAAACATAAATCACAGCTACGTTCAGTAGCCGACAGCCATACCCTCTGTCCTGGAGCAACAGCGTGGCAAAGCCAACCCTTGCTGATTTGAGAAGGGACGAAAACAGCTTTGGGTGATTCAATAGCAGAAGAAACTCAAAAGGTTTATCAGCAAACTTGAAGGACTGAAGTTTCTCAGATTCACCTTGAAACTAGGAGCTTATTCAAAGACACATGAACTTTTCAAGGTACTCAGCTCTTCTCATCTCCCCACTTCTAGCAAGGAAAGTGGGTAGGGAGTGGACATAAAAAAAAAAAGAAAAAGAAAACAATCACTTCAAGTGTTTAGCCAGGCTCTAGTAATTAGCAGGATCAAAGTTTTTCTATGGGCATTTCAAGGAAAACCACGAAAGATCAGTTCTCATTGTCACCGTAAGTCCTGCAGGTCTTGAAATAGAAGTTGCGATGCCAGAGCCAGGGCAACTCAACCCATTTTAAAATCTAGCAGGGAAATGTCTTCAGAGAATTAAATTCCTACTAGGAAATTGCATCAATTGGATCCTTTGCATGACTAAACCATTGCTCCCGATCTCCTGATTCCTATCAGACTATTTTGCAAACAAAATTCTAGCAGCTCCTAGTTAAGCCTGTTCAACCACACGATATCTATCACTAGCTCATAGGAAATACGAAAGTAATGAAAGCCAGTGAGTTCTCACGATGGCCATGAACCAAATTCATCTTCAGGAATTACTAATGAAGAGTCTCCACCAAATTCCTGATACTTCTGAGGTTGCTGACCAAATTATAGACCACCTCTGAAACAGAGGCGTATAGAGAGTTCACAGCTGAAATATTTCTGCAGGAGGCCAGAACAGGAACCATAGCATTCCGCTTTGTTCACCATCCAGAAGAAGACTATCCCATTTAGCTAAACAAGATGCACAATATCCTATTAAGATGACTTTCTAAAATGAAAAGTAAATTAATAGGAAACAGAAGGTATTTTGATTTCAGTTTCTTCTGTATAGCATTAACTGTTCCCATATGTTCCCAATCAGCCAGCAATGGTGATTTTTAGCTTATTTATAAAAACCCAGAGGCAAATAAGTAGTTTTCAATAAAAAAGGTGTTCTATACGCTGATGACATTTAAACATTTATCCTTTTTTTTTTTTTGCCTCAGTGATGAAGCACACAGAGGTTACGTCTTATCCCTAGAGTAACCTGAATGGTCCAAATGTCCAAATTCTGGGACAAAGTCCTTAGTTACTGTGACCAAGTCTGTCCCACAGTTAACCTGGGCGATTGCCGCTGGTGGAGCTGCAGAGCCATCCTCATATTCACGTGTGCCTACAGACACGTCTGCTCTGTCCTCTGCCCCAGCGTCATCCTGCCAAACGTCTGCTCTCCAGAGGTCTCCAATGCTGAAGTCTCTGGAAACCTACCACAGTGCTTCATTATTATTCATATCGGAAAGTCTTTCCTTATGACCCATGAATCCACAGATTTGTGAAACAGGTGATCCCGTTTCCCCTGGAAGCAGGGTTTTACCTGAAAAATATCACATCACCTTTAGCCTTCCTTTGGCTAATCAGCACCCATTTGTCCTTAGAGGTCCTGTTTTCTACAGCTCTTATTTCTCCCTAGAACTTCTTCCATGGTGCCTGCATCCAGAGCAATCCAACTAAAGAAGTCACTAAGCATGAGTAAGCTTAGAAGACACCTCTGGGCTATTCTCCCTTTGCATACCCTTGCATACCCACACAGGACTGCAGCAGATGCCTCTGCATTTGCACCCTCAACTACTTGTTACTATCTTCTCAGTATGTTTTCCAACTAATTTTGCATCCAGATTTTAGCATTTTCACCTCTTCCATGCTTCCTATTTGATTTTTGAGAACATTGTGTGCAGCAGAGTAAAACCAATAACCAGCAGAGTAAAACCAATAACCAAAAACAATAACCAAAGTCAAGACATGCCATACCCATTTTATACAAGGCAACCTGGCAACTGTTTTCGTGTCCAAAAATCCTTACAGATTGCACATACTCTGTATTTTGGTCAGATTTCTTTAATATAGAACATTATCATGCTGTGTGAAAGTATTTTTGTATGAAATCTAAATCTGGCCTGGAGTTCAGGATCAGAAAATCTTACGCCGAATGGAAGGAGGATTTTGCTGAAGCACAGAAGGATGCTGGAGCAACCCACAACATAAAATGCACCTTCTGCTCGAGCGGACTTCTAGTGCATCTGATGATGGAAACTATACTTCCACTACGGCATGGGTGGAGATAATCCAAAGGTACTTTGCCATTTAACGACTGGAAAAAGTACTGACAGAGAGAATCAGGATGTAGCACAGTCCCTGCAGACATGCTTTGGGGCCTTCAGAACGGGAACTTCTCCTCCCCACCCTTCCATTACCAAAAGCTGCAACATCTACCATTTACACCTACGGTTTACATGCTTTGGGCCACCAAATTACATTGAGCACTGCAGCCTGAAACCCAGCTGAGCTCCCTGATACATAGGAAGTTGGCGGATCCATCCTCCTCTGAATAACCAGCCTTGGCCACAAGAAAGGCCTGGCCAGCTCACTATTCTGTCTCTGACAGTAGGCTGGGATGGATGCTTAAAGAAGAATATAAGAGCAGGTCAAGAATAGGGAGATCCTCCCTGTGAATATGTCCTCTCAGCTTCCAGCAACATACAGTTTAAGAATTTATATTGAGTCTAAAAATCTTTAAAGAATTTTTTCCCTACGATTTTCTGACTCCTTTGTGATCACATCTACATTTCAGACATTCGCAATGACCCACGCGGCCACGAGGACGGAGCTCCCACCCCCATCACTGCAGAGAAAAGCCTGAGCAAAGTTTGGGAGCCAGGAACTCATTTTGGTTCTTCTCAAGCTCCTGCCATGTGTATAGTAAAACTAATATGAATTGCCACTTTTTCAAGGGGTAGGAAGACCAGTTGAAACATTTTGGCTATAGCACACAAGACAGAGATGGGTTCTGTCCAGGATGGTAGTGATGCCGATATCGTGTATGAGCTGAAGGACGTGACAGGGTAGAAGAAGAGTCAGCTTAATCTAATCTTTTATTCAGATTTGCAAGCCTGACAGCTCTCACCACTTGCCAGCTGGTGACAGGTATATTTAAAAAAAAAAAAAAGAAATAAAAAAATCATTTTTTGACATCCTCTCTTCTCTAACAAAAGAGCTATTTAAAAATTCAGCATGCTCCCTTGGAAAGCTTTAAATAGTTTCTGAATGTAACTGGCATTATGCTGTAACCCAATATTAAATAGTGTTGGGGAGGAATTGTTTAAATTGTTGAGGAAAACCTACATTTAAGTGTTACAAAGGAAAGGAGGGAGGCACGGGGCTGTCATGCAGATGGATCTAGCCTCTGCTAGTTTTCCTGGATCTGGACAAGTAACCAGAGAAGGTCCCTGTCTCAGCCGGGGATGAAGACGACTTATCTTCACCGCACCATATCCTCTCTTCACACAACTTGAAGACATCTTGTCCTAATCATCCAGGCAGTATCATGCTGGCTGTAGTCTGCAGCTGCCAAAAGTTTGGAGAGTTTTGAGCTCTGAATCCTCTGCTCTCCAAGCTCTTGCATGATCAGAAAATATGAAGTGAGAACAGAAGAGAAAGGGATAGGTACAGAGCAGGATTTAACAGTTAAAATTACTTTCCTTTATGGATCATCAGAAATCTATCTATCTTCTGTAATATTTTAAAGTAAAAGCAGATCAAAACAGAACCTCAGCAGATTTTTATTCTCACTGAATAGATATGCTATTCACTGCAGCAAGAAATTTAGCGCCCTGTTTAACCTCCCCTTCCAGTATTTCGCATCCAGTGGTCACAGGCGACTTCAAATATTGCTCAACTCCGCAAATACCGACTAGAAGACGGAGAAATACTTCTTGCAGCTAAAATCTGTTACTTTAATAACAATCATTACTTGGGTTCTCAATATGAACACGAAAGCCACTATCAGATGCAGCAGTATTTAATTAGCAACTGTTTTCCAAAGTCACACTCCATGGAGAGCCACACCAGTAACAGCTCCCGATCCACAGCTATTTCCTTTCGTTTTCTTCTAAAATGTTTACTTACCCAAAGGGATTGCTGCAAAGAGACACTTTGCAGGTGAAAGCAACACACAGATACAGCCCAGAGAATGAGGCAGCTGAACATCTGCTCTTAGCTATTTTAAAAAAAGCCCCCATATTCATTAATAGGCCAGTGATGGGCGTAAGAGAAAAGAAAAAGATTGGCTGATAATGAAAACCTGCTTTTTCTCCTCTGAAAGACAGGCTTCTAACAAGGGGCAGTTAAGAGAAGCTGATGCTGTCCTTCCTTAGGGGAGTGAAAGATGCCTAACAGGTTGGGAATTCCTTACTAGATGCATCCCAAATCCCCCTGGCTCCGCCAAATTAAAGATGTTGCCCAGAAGTCATCTCAGTGGAGGCCCAGAATATAAGGGAGAGAAAAATCAACATTTTAATACTTTCTGAAAGAAACTGATAGAGATGATGAATATTTTCCACCTCTCAAAAGGATAAAGAGATCAAATAACAACGTGTAAGCATCCTTTAAATAATGTATCACTTACCAGATCTATATTTTGCATTATGTCCTGGAAGGAAGGGTGAGTTCGAAACTGCTCAAACAGATCCCGCTTGTAAAGCAGCGCGTACACCAAGTTTGGGTTGTGATGAAGAGAATTTGTCAGGCAGGAATTGATGATCTCCAACATCATCCGGATCACTTCCTCGATCACATTCAGATCTTGCGCCTTTAAGAAAGGAATAAAAGGTTAACGTGGCCTTTTCCGTTGTAAAATATATTAGGTAATAAAGACAGAGCACAGGTAATTATTAGTAATGGAGCTATTAGCTGGATAACGTCTCAACGGTGAGCAAATCTGGCATGCCTGTATCTGGAAAGAGATCTGTTTTCTCCTGTAATAACCAAAATTTTAACCGAAATGCATTGCACTCTAGTTTTCAGCCTCATAGCTTAATTCTCTCAACAGGAGCCATCTTCTCAGGCCAAAAAGCATTAACACGTCACAGTCAGCCAAATTCACTAAGGGTTAAGTGAACTTAGTCTTTTCAACCCTTCCTATGCTAAGTAAAAGCACTTCAGCATACGTTTAGTTTAATATATTTTCCACTGAGACCCTGCTTCTGGGGGGAGGGATAGGGAGAAGAAGAGAGAAAAAAACCCCAAAAATCAGGAAAATAAAAAGCGGCTGGTGAAAGAGAAAAGCAAAGGCAGGAGAAGGAAAATTGACTGGATGAAAACCCATTCCACCTTGAACATCGGCCACTGTCCTCCAGACTTTGTCCTTGGCTCTTTTGGGGGTTTTTTTGGCATTGCAGAATACTTGTAATAAATGACAAAAAGAAATTTCCTTTTGTAGTGCACTGAGCCTTAATGCTCAAGATAAACTTGTAGAGCTTTTCATCCTGCCAATGTCTTTGACAAACCATTCCTGATGATTCTGAAATTCAAACTTTCTAATCTGCACAAGCTGGCATGTTGAACCCCTGCTAGCCTTCTGGATTTCTCTCCTTGGGCTGCACATCAGGATATGCCTGATACGGTTGTTTAGACCGGAGAGCTGTCGGTCCTCCCTTGGGATAGGGGAAAAAAAGGCAAATGTACTTTGTTCGTATTGTTAGGTCTCTCCACCACATCAAACGTTGGACTGTGAGACTTTACAGGTCTGGCAAGAACGTGAATCATACCAAACCGGCTTGAGTTCTTCTGCTTATTATGAACACTGAAACCACCGGCATTTCCTTTTGCTGGCTGCCTACAAAGCAGTCATTTTCTGAGTTATCATAAGGCACTTAAATACTTCGTAACGAGGCTGCACTTGCAACGGCGTTTTGTTGGACTGTCATTCAGCCTGTACATAGTTATTTTCTACCACGAGGCACTGTCGTAGGCATCGTCTATGCTCTTACCACGGCAGAAGAGAATACAGGAACTTGTCACTATCCTGGTTAGACTCTCATAAAGAGCAAAATTCTCTGCTATACCACTCTGCTCTGGCTGCTTTCAACGGAAAGCAAAGATAGGTTTCTTCCTGCAGGCGTAGATACAGCCCTGCAGAAGGCAGCACCATCCCCCTAACCTGCTCCTCCACCTCCCCTGCGGCGCTGAGGACCGCGGAGAAGGGTCTAATTCAGTTACCCACGCCGCTTGTCTTCTGCATGCACAAAGGAGATTTAAGTGATGAAAGCCTTTGGAAATTCTTGTTTGAAGAACGATATTTGGTGTACACGCTCCAATTAAATCTCCTTTAGCAATGATGTCTGACTGACCGTGCTTTTTTCCAAACGTGAGGATCTCCTCCTCTCTTTTAATGACTTTGGCAGCGTAGCTAACAATGTTGGCAGAAACCCTTACAAAGCTGATCACCGCAGCTACTTAGCCTGTCAATGGGATCGCATTCTTCTACGACAGAAACGATCTTTACGCTCCAAACAGGGGTGGTTCCTCTGTCTGTAGTTCCCTAGTTAGCGTGCTATGAAACAGCATCCCAGTTAGATGCTGTGAGATGTGTATAATGCAAAGTATTGGACAAAACCTGAAATAATGACTTTAGCTGGAATCTGAAGAAAAATCCAGACCTGGCTAACTCCTCTGTGGTGTGGCACTTCCCTGTCAACTTTGATTTAATTCAGAATATGGAATATTATGGTGGCTTTTAAAAAGCTCTGAGCATTGGCATCATTCTCTCCCCAACGCAGCAGGATGACCTCGTGCCGGAGATGCTATCCTAAAATACAGAATACATTAGTTTTGCAGAAACATTATGATGCAGGATCAAGTGCGATCTCTCCAGTTAGCAGGAAGGTAACAAGCCGCACAATTGCTTTTCAAAAACTAAATGCTTTTGAATAAAATATGTTCACCTTAAAACCCGGTCATAGAGCTAGTTTAAACAGAAAGCACTGCTAACCATCTTCAAACATGTTATCTCAAGAAAAGGCAGACTCTGCTATTGGTCAGCTTCAAACAATTAGAAGTTACCAGAGGTTATTGCTCAGTAATTATATTTGAAGTTTTTAGAAGCTGATGGACAGAACCAACCATCTGTTTTTCAGCAATGGTGTCGCAGGTGAAGAATCTAGGACCCAAATGAAGAAATTCAGGAGCTACAGTGAAGATAGCTGATGAACCAAAAAATCATTTATAAGAAGAATGAGCTCCATCAGAGACAAAGAAGTGGGATTGAATCCCAGTATTGCATATAAGTTATCTGCAGAGCTGTATGCTCCTATAATTAGAGATTAAAGCATTTGTAAAGGCTTAAAAGTTTTCAAAACAGGAAAAAACAAGCAGAAAGCCAAGGACAGCATTTGGATGAGACAATGGAGAAATGCTGTAAGAGCTGATAAAATGCTGTGTGCTTTTGTTGCTCTGTATCACCAGTATCAAGCTACGGCCCCTCTGCATCTAGACATGGCGTCACGACAGATATAAATAAGGTTACAAAAACATTTCACAGTTGAAGAGAAGTTTATCACCTCGTGTATTAACTTTCAGAGCAGCTGAACACAGCTGAAACGCTGAACATGTATGGCCAAGACAAGGACTACCACATCATCCACACCAACCTTGTAAGACTATTTTTTTTTGGACTGAGTTAGCCGTTACATGAAAAGAGAAGCCAAATATTGATTTTGGGGGCACAGATAGACAAGTTTCAATCTATTAAATAGTACATTTAAATGAGAGAGGAGTTAAAAGTAATGGCATTTTCCTACCGCTTACAATTGACAAATTCAACGTGGCATTCACATTTAAAATTATTACAGTATTCCTTTACAAAACAGGGCTCAGCTGCCTTTGCTGATACTGATGAGTACCAGTCCTCCCCCTCCTTTTTTTTGTTTATGCCCATAGAAATAATTATACCCATCATTAAAAGAAACGTGGAAGCTAAGGCTTGGTACCAACTTTCTGAGACTGAAATCATGCCTACAAAAGGGATGGGAATGTAGGCACAGCACTAACATCACTGTGGGTAATCCTAGGTAACCACCTCACGGTTCTTTCTCAGGATAGGAATTAAACGTGGTAGTTTTTTTGCAAAGATTTTCATTTTCAACGCAAAAAGCCAGACACTTGGTCATGTTCTAGTTGAACAAACCAGACAGCGACAGCTACAAAAGATCCAGGTACAGTTCTGGGTAGCGTGGGTCTCTTTTTCCCCCCCCTCCCCCCTTAAAAAAAAAAAAAAAAAAAAGAGGAACAAACAAGTGATAATACCAGAGAAAAGAGAATGGAAACAGGCTGAGAGGATGCGGAGAAAAACACAACGAGCACAGGAATGAGAACATTATCTGGAGAAAAATAATTTGAGTTTGATAAACACTAACAAGGAAGACACAAATGCGCAAAGCCAAGGCAAACTACAGGCAGAGCTGGATGTTCTCATCCCCGACCATCCTGGAATGCTGTGCCTTCCGTACTGCAATACAATGAATAATTAGCATGACATACTCCTGATGGAGGATCCAAGCCACAGCGAAGCCCCTTGCTTGAGCCCAGCTCATCTTTTCACCCTCGGTCCTGGGTACAGGCTATACGCCACGCGCTGCCCCAGTTCTGGGGGGTACCCGGGGTATTTCATAGCACGGATGCAAGCTGGATGGTGACAGATTTCCCAATGAGATTTTGGACGTCTGACCATTTACCCAGAAAGATGGGAAAGATCTGCTGGACACTCAGCTACAGCATCTCCTCATGGTCATGCAACCTGTGCTGGGTTAACCATTCAGTTGCCAGCCACCAGTTACCAGCAGTGACAGTACAGCTGAATTCAAGGAATTGTTAAAGTCTTGATTTCAGGGTGAAGAATGAAATAATAACAATTTTCTTCTGGCTAAAAATTTAGTCTTTCAATACTTAAGGGGGCTTAGAGGAAAGATGGGGACAGACTTTTTAGCAGGGCCTGTTGCGATAGGACAAGGGGCGATGGTTTTAAACTAAAAGAGGGCAGATTCAGACTAGATCTAAGGAAGAAATTTTTGTTCCTTAGATGTGAGGGTGGTGAATCCATGGCCCAGGTTGCCCCGAGAGGTGGTAGATGCCCCATCCCTGGAAACATCCCAGGTCAGGCTGGACGGGGCTCTGAGCACCCTGCTCTGGGTGCAGCTGTCCCTGCTCACGGCCGGGGGTTGGACTAGATGGCCTTGGAAGGTCCCTTCCCACCCGAACCATCCTGTGATTCTGTTTTATGATTCTAAAAAGCACTGGTGGACAAGCTTAACTCTTACACTGGGTCCACACGATGTATTATGATTACATCTTTATTTACTGCGAGGTAGAATTCACTTAAATGCAAGATTTTTTTTTTTTTTTTTCCTTTTTACCTGGATGTATAGTTATCCGTAATTCAAAGCAAGAAATAACTGTAAGCCTAACCCGGTCTACTTTGCAACTTTTTTAAAAATCAGAGATCTAACAGCGTAACTTTTCTTCCGTGGCGGGATCCGCATGAATATTGCTATGCAATATATCACAATAGGCATATACATCCACTGCTGCCTACTAAAAAAGCCCCACTTCTCACCGTTCCTTCACATCGCAGCGATTTTCCAGCCAACTGATACTTTCAGCTAAGTAACTGCTCGAAGTTTCTGCCTGTTGAAACAGCACGATGACGAACACTATCAAAAAAGGCAGTTATACAGTTAGCACAATCTGGGCAGGAAGAAGCTTATCTGCCTACGAAAACAAAACCCGAGCAGGGATGGGTAATGCAATACGCTA